ATTAATTATAAGGGTTTAATTTGAAAGCATACAATTACGTCTGACAGTATTAAGCGAATTTAATATCTATTATTAATTATATTTTGTGTCCTAAGATTTATTGAGTTTTATTTATATATTATTCACGTGATGATCATTGGAATTCACCAGAACAACTACAACATTTCAAACAAATCATTCATTCAATTTCGAAATTTTTACCAACACAAATTCTTCACTTAGGAGGCTTATGAGTGTATACGTAAATAAAATATGTGTACACATACTATGTAATATATTTGACAATATGTTATGTATTGTTTATAATGTATATTGTGTTTAAAAAAAATGAATATTTCAATTTTCATTTACCACTATTTTCATTTATGCTTAGATCAAATGCCTACACAATATTCAAATACATTTTTTTACATCAGGTGTCGCCAATCTTTGTCATCAAGAGTTTCATTAAAAATGTAGTATCTGGTGATCGACCAGTAGGTGTGTTATTTATATTATCACATGCAGCGTTATAATAAATTGTACAATAATATGCCTCTTTTATAATTTCTACATCGGAAAATTGTGTTTTTTTTCTTTGCTAATAAATACTATGCTTTGCATGTTACAAAAGAATGTTTAAAATTAAACGTTCGCAATGGATCGATATTAATATAATTAATTTTTAATGCAATCGACCATTCCTTCGAAAACTCACCAGTCGTAGTAGACTTTAAGCTTACAAAACTCGTTCATACAACTTATTAAAGTTAAAAAGTACTTAAAAATTAGATTTGGCTATGCAATATGTGCACATAGTAGGTAAACATACATTATAGAATATCAATATAATTAGGTTGCAACGTTGATCTTAAAAATTGTAAAGATTATCAATACTAACTTATTTAGAAGTGAATTAACTTATTATTAAACTACATAATTTAATTGATTGATATACTCTTTAATGGCCAATATTTAATGATATAGGTACGCTTGTTTTAAAATTTAACTTTGAAAGTCATGACAGAATATTCTGTTAATCCTAGAAAAAATGTAAATGAATGCAGGTTTAGTGCCTATGTTTTATTTATAACAGAATAAAATAATATATTTTCGATTTTTATATTATGTACCTACCTACTTAAAGTATTTTTCAAAATAAAACGTTAACCAATTATTTAATTATGAATAGTATGCATAATTTATTATTGCTGTAAGCACATAATAGGTAATCTTTAGTATTTAATCCTGCTAAGACGTTTATTGTATTTATAAATAAATAAATATACGTAAAAATTCCGCAGATCATTAATTTTAACACAAACAACAATGAATTGCTTGTAGACATTTCTTATTAACAAAGTAAACGTGTTTAAACAGTTAAAAAATAATTACGTTACACGTTGTTTTAATAATTACAGTTTTATTGTCACTACAAGAATAAACTAGTGAGTATATAAGCAATCCTGTCTTTTTATGACTATAATTATACACACGATTATAACAGAAATATCTCTTGAATATTATTTATCATTAAATAATCAGTAGTTATCAACGGCAGAATTTTAGTAAAATTAAAATTAGGTCTAATTATTTCTGCAATAAAGGTTTACTCTTTGGCTAATAAAGTGGATTAAAATAGATGATGACTTTACCGCAAACGTGCAAACATAAATGACGTTTTTAAATCGAATACATGTGCTTCAAAATAAATTACAGTAGTTTAAGGTAATAATCAACAAAGTAAAAAATATGGTTGCCATGATTTTTCTTTAATTTGACAACGATATATTACAATATTATCGGATTTAGAAAAAAAAAAATGACTATGTGAGGCCGATTTACTGGCGAATATAAATTATATTTTCGTTGAAAAGTTTAAAACTTTTATAAAAAAAAAAGATTCGGGATTACCGAGATTTTTCGAGATTATTTGAAAACCTCATTCTTCAGTTGAATTTCAAACCTTTCTACCTGTGTTCTTCAAGTACCTACTTAAAAGTCTATACAAAAAGTTAAAAAAAATATTTTTCAAGTATTGAATTGCTTAATAACTTATGAATTTGAGCGTATAAAATATTATACAATGTATTTGTTTGTCGAAAACCATTGAAACTTTATAATTTTTGAAAATGTCCAAAATATATCATTACCTAATATTGTTAAACTATTAAGCTTATTTACGATTTAACGCAAATTGTAATTAAATAAAACACATACCATTAGATAGGTATGTACAAATATTTCAGCCATTCAGTGAACTATCCAGTAATAATAGGTACAGCTGTTAATAAAATATGCGGTCCGCGAAGCTCATAATTGTTTTTCATGTTTCGGAGCGGAAAAACAATTCACCTTTTATAAACCTACTAGACATTTTGACAATGATAAAAACGGTGACAACGTTAATAAATTGCTAATGAATAAAATGCATTTATAACGCCTATTGTAATACCTACGTGATTTTCAATAAGCTTTCGATTACACATTTACGCACATGCACACGTCATATTGTAATTTGTAATAAATATAATAATAGTTTTTAATAGTATATTATTTCAATAATTTTAATTTTAAAATTTACGTTTTTCGTGTACACTTTTTTATTTTTTAACTACTTACAGAATAATAATTTGAATGGTTTCAATGTATTCCAAATTCCGTAACACCGCTTTTAATAAAATACAATTTATATAATATTTCAGAATTTCAGCATAAATTGAAATTTTTCATTTCATGTCCAATACGTATTTTTTACAACCAAGTAATGTACCTACGTCACCCAAATACAACCCTGCAGTGGTATGTCAAGCGTGTGTAAGGGTTTTTAATTTTGTTTTTGATCCCTATTTCTAGCATATTACACAGCTAAAATAAAGCAAAATCAAAAAATGGTCTGTTTGAAGACATTTGAAAGAGGAATTATAATTCACCTTTGTAAAGTGTGTCTGCAGACAACTACCTATTATGTAGAAAAAAAAACATAAAGTAACTTGCTTTTCAGTTGCTTAATTAACCTTACCTAAACAATATTGATGGAATTCGAATAATTTCAATATAAAATGATAAGGCTGAATAATATGTAAGTACATAACATAAGTTAGGTTATTATTATATAACCTAGATGCTATTACACAAGTCTCTAAATTAAGCTTAAAGGTGATAATTTAAAACGCAATTAAATCGAAAACCGTAAAATTTGGAGTATTATTATATCATATTACTCAATTTTAACAGAAAACAATGAGATATTCTTGTATATTATTTTAGTTACGCATTATATTGTTATGTTTTATTTTTGTATAGGTGTACAACATAACCTCAATAAATCAAACGTCCATAAGTCAAATTGTCGATAATTTAGAGGAATCTATGTCCATGAATTTGAATATGCGCAAGTACAATTTTTTCTACACCTAACTCAAATTCTCGATAACACGAATTTTTTTGCCAACTACCGATTTCATTTATTGATGTTCCTCTGTATAATTATAACTATTTACGAATATAAGACGGATGAAATATATGATTCTAGTGTAATATGGTATGAAGTAATTGTAATCAATGAATATTTAAAATCATGTTTACAACTATAATAATATATAGAAATGTACAAACGACGGTCCCGTTGCTAGAAGCATATTATTGAGATGCAACAATATCTAAGTATTGAATAATTATTGTAAATTCAGAGCATTAAAATGTAAGGTTGATATATTTATGATAACATTGAATAAAAAACTCTGAAGAACGTTAAACCTAAAATGTTGAAAACATTTTAATTCTTAAAAGCGTCAAACAAATTATATTTTTAAACCCGAATCTTTACAGAAAGTGTATTCAATTATTTTTTAACTTTGAAAACGTTGTCATTTATAAGAATAGGGTGGAGAGAAAAAGATTTGGTACCGGAGCGAGAAAGTTCTGAATTCTACGTCCGCGGGAAAGACATTATATTAACACACCATTTTCAAGCTTGCACTGAGAGGAGTGGACTGCATGCACGATACATATCGTTAATAATCTCTTAGTTTTCATGTCGTTTCGTTTACTAATCAAAATCTAACTCAATTCTAAACACCTAAAAACATTTTTACGCTCTTCGACAAGCTCATCATGACATAATTCATTAATTTACAATAACATCTTGTATAAGTAAATAACCATAGGTACATTATTATTATTAGACATTTAGATTTTATACACAAACTGTCTTGTAAAATAAATAATAATGGAGAAAAAGTAAGTGTACAAATACGTGTTATAAATACTTTTGAAAAAATATCTGCATTTCAAGTCAATTCATTTTTATTTATTTTAAATTTCCAGATAAATAATCCAATCGCGTATTCAAAAATAAATTGAATACAGTATAATAATGGTCATATTATGTGATAATATATTATATTTTTTTAAGTGACTTTTGAACCCATTCTAAAATAAAAAAAATCCCTATGAAGAAAATATATTATCTTTATATTAATATATTTGTATACAGTTACGCAAATTAACGATGTAATAACCTACAGCGTAAAATGCAGTATAAAACATCATGAAAATAAAAAAAGTCGGGTTCAGCTGATTTAAATTTTAAAGATAAAAAAATAAATTTGAAAAATTACAGTACCTATATCATAATGGGATCCATCGTAAATACTGTTTTTGAAAGTTTTTGTATATTATTTTCAATCTTGTAAGCAGATAATATTTTTTTCCGAATCAAATAATAATTAAAATGCGTATTTCGGACACTATTCAAAATGCGAGTAGGTATCTAGACGCAGCCTGGACACTCGACGGGAATAAACCTGCCTACGCAGCGTTATTGTTTTTTCGTCGTCATTGTGCATTATAATATATTATTATTGTCATTATGCGCCATCGTCACAGTCGCAGCGTATAACAATCGCTCCAGCGGCGGGTAACTGGCGACGACTACCTGTAGCATCACTCCTCTTGCGGCGGCAATTTATATAATATCATTATTATTATTATTATTATTATTATTATAATATACTCACAAATATAACAGTACAAGGGTTGCGGGACCCGCGACGGCGTCGTCGGCGGCGACTTGGCTCGCCCGTCTAATACTTAGTCGTTTGTGTGTGCGTGTGTGTGCGTGTGTGTGCGTGTGTGTGTGTGTGCGAGAGCGAATTTACCAAGAAAAAAATTCCGTCTCGACGAGACACGTCTACGGTCTACGTCGACGGGGGGGCCCGCGGACGCCGGGCGGATGCGACTCTCTGTCTCGTGGTCGTCGTCGTGGTCGCCGTGTCGTCGTCGTCGTCGTCGTCGGTGTGTTCGTCAGCGGCGGCGTCGCGCGCGTGTCGGAGCGCAAGAGCCGATTGAGTGACGCGGCGGACGCCGTGCGACTACAACACGCGCTCGTCGGACACGCCGCGCCCCCCGCCCACGCCTCCGCGGCAGCCTCTGCCGCCGCCGCCGCCGCCGCCGTCACAATAATAATAGACAGTACGCCGCCGCCGGTCGCGCGCGCACGCGGTTTCCGCCGCCGGCCGCCACGCGGTTCGTCGCCGACGACGACGACGACGCCGACGCCACCGCCGCCACCACTGTCTCGTCGGCGTCCGACGGGGATTTCCCGGCAGTCGTACCCAGACGTCGCCGGGTACGGCCGCGACTGCCGCTCGTCGTCGCGTATTTCGCCGACGACGACTTTGCTGTAACGAGCGTGTTCGTCCCGCCGAGAGCGAAAGCCACATATCAGTAATAATAGTTTTAGACCACGACATTACAGCTGTTTTATCTTATTATATTGACAAAATATCGTCGGCTAATATGTTCATTGGCGATCTGCAATAATAATTATTCCCAGCAGTATATTATTACGATAAACACGTGTCATCTGAGCCGAACGGAATTTTCTAATATTTTTTTTTGGCACTCCGCCACCACTATACCCGCGATATTTTCACACGAATTCAATTTTTAACAGTGAAATTAATTTTACACTTACCTTATAAAATTATGCACTATTCGATTGTGTTTGTCATATAGGTATGTTTTTATTGATTGAAAAAGATTACATACAAAATGTATTAATGAAGATAAGATTTTCGATCATCTCATTCCTTTAAGCAATGTCTGTGCTGTAGGTAGAGAGTTATTATATTATGTAATATATTAAAAGAAATTTTTAAAAAATTTAAAAATATTAAAATTAAAAACAATAGATTCTGAAGTACATATAAAACTAAACAAACCATTACAACCTTAGTACACATTTAGTACAAACATTGACATATTAATATTGAATAAACAATACATCCCTCATCGCCATTCCTCAATAACATTTCAGTTTGTTGTTTACCAATAACTTAATAATAAAATTATGAACTCAAATATAATACAGATCTGATTTCCACGCCCCACTTAATACTGCTCTGGTAAAATAGTAAGGCTGTATTTGAATGAGGGTAAAGTGGTAGTAACCGCCCTCCCATTACTGCCCCTGGAGCTTTTTTTATAGTTTAAGTTTTCTTTATTACGTTAAAATTTAGTTTAAATTTAGCACATTAGAATAATATGGGACGGAATATGAGTTAAATCTTGGAACTTGAATAACAACGTTTTGATATTTACGTATTGTCGAAAGCAATTATTTAAATAAGTTATAGTTTTGTATACTTTCAAAATGGAAAAATGTATTTCCTCCTTTATTCAAGACTGAGGTAGATGCACCTGCTCCATCATGTATACAAATTGTGTATATATAGTTTACATACTTCAGTGTTATTTGTAAACAAAAAAACCCCATCATTTATTTGTATGATTAAACTTACTATTTTTTTTTTAAATTTGATTGACCGTTATTAAAAAAATGTATTTATATAACAGCGTAGAAAAATATACCAATCTATCAACGTTTGGGATTTATAAGTAATATGTACACAAAATTATGTACATATGACAGGTATAATAAAGGGTGGTCCCAGTACAGTTGCACCTGTGGAAACTATTGATAACATAATATTAAATAGACAGTTATGATGTGCTGATGTCCTTTGGTTTTAAAACTCGGTAAACAAGCGACGCATTCTTTCATAACCGATGGAATGGGATATTCTTAGATTTTTTTTGGCGGAATTCTATCACTCTCCTGCAGTCTCCACAACACTTTACGCACTTGAAAACGACGACTCCAACCGTTTGAGCTATTAAGATCCGGACGGTTAGGCAATCGTAGAAAAAACTTCAGTCTATGGTCTCCCTTTTCCTTTAAGATTTACACTGATCGACGAGCAAAATTAAGGTTACCCCCTAGCGAATTACACAAACCGGCAAAACCATAACTTATGACACTATGGATGGATGGCCATCATCTCGACCACAGTTTATATTTTATAGTCTACGGTCTCGGCTGCTGGATAATTATGACACATTCTTGTTTACATGTTACAGATATCTATTCGTTATATCAGCTATCGTCATATTTTCAGTTAGTCTAAAAGTCAGCCTAAGGTCCAGTTCAAACTACACCGTGTCATGTCGTGGTTCGTATATTTAACACATTGGTTGTAGCGGTAACGATATGTCAGAAACATGTCAACTATATAAGTTCAATATTATCGACTCTACACAGAACGGTGTTGTGAGAACCTGGCATTAGAGGCTTTTATCAAGGTGTCACTGTTGGTGGCCACGAACTTAACCAATGTGTTAAATAGGTATATATTTTCATATGTTTTACATGGAAATTGGACACGACATTGTACCATACCATTATATATTTGAGGAAAACGAGCTCATCTCCACTTTTCTCCACATTCGTTGTACATTCGTGCCGTTCGATTATTAATCAAACCGCATCTACTACACTATTAGTTCATGTCCACAATTACAAAGACTCTACAAATTCACTTTAAAGTATCTTGATTGATTTGATTAAGCAATTTCGAGAATTTAAAATAAAAACTTAAAGGTTTATTACTTATATATTTTAATACTAGTCCAAAGTAACTTAGAAACCATAACTCATAAGATCTTATAGAAAGATATTTGGACCAATAAGAAACATCCAAGGAGAATATTATAAAATTGGTGATAGGAAATATGGAAGAAATAGAAGAACCTGCATATGGATAAACAAATATAATCTAAATTCTTCAGAATAGTCGTAGTTTGAGGTAGGTTAGGTTAGGTTAGAAGTATTATGCATAGAAATCAGAAGGGCCCATTATTTTGGCCACAACATTCAAAACAAATACAAAACGGCCAAGAGAACGGACCGATGGACATAGAGACATGGTTTATATCTATATAGTATAGATAGAAATCTGTAGGGTCGTCAAAAAATTAGCACTTTTGGGAGTAGAAAATTGAGAACAACTTGCAAATGAGAGGGACAGATAGAAGCAATTAGTTACGGAAATATGGACTTAAGAAGCCAAGAAGAAGAAGAAGAAAACTTATTAAAAGTGGCCTACTAAAATATTTATAGGTATTTTCTGTGTTATTATGAAATTTTATGGAAAAACGGTTTAACGTGGTAATCACTGCAGAGAATAATACAGTTATTTATAGATAAAGCACGAACCACTACTGCACTATAAAAGGAAGACAACTTCTAATGTTTAAATATCGTTTTTTACTTGTCTTTCTTCAATATCACTTTCTCGAAAAAAGTTGTCCTACTTTGGAAAACTTGAAATTAACGAATTATAAGACAATAGTATTTTCGTTTTGTACTACTGTATTAGTACGACATCTTACATATAAAAATATTGAACGTAATGTCAGAAGACTTATATTTTACAAATCACATAAAAAAATTATTAATCGGTTTTCTATAAATTTTTTTTTCGTAAATACACAAAATACATTGAAACATAATATTTTTATTTGTATTCCCTGTAACCAAAATATAATATTATGACGTGTGATCCATTCAACTGAAAATAGATTAAGTAGGTAGTATTGTTATCAAAACGAATGTATAATCAACAAGTGACAATGCTAAATAATGAACTATTCAGTAGGACCCTATATATTTTATTAATAGTTACTAATACTTTTCTTATTTAAAACAAAACTATTAAAATTTTGTTGTAATTTCTTCGTTGTGGGTGCAGCAAAAATATGGTCGTCATATACACGAGATGGTTACTCTGTGAGTTGATGTGTAGGTTTTAGGTACTTACACTTAAATAATAGATACCATAATAATATGCGCAATAACGAGTGGTACCATTGGTGGTCGTTGGAAATACACTCCACAATCAAATGGATGAACAGTTGAGTAAGTTTTAGTTTTACCATTATATCGTAATAAAAAGTAGTATAGATTTATTTATGTAATGTTATAACGCAAATGGATATTTTGCATTCGGAAGTATATTTTTAATCTAATAAAGAAATTTATTTGAGATTTTAATATTTTGTCACTATAAACAATATATTTTGTACTTCGAAGCATTGTAATATTGTATTATGCAACTTGTATCTGTCTATTTTCAGTTGATTACAGATGTTAAGAGTAGAAAACCATAATATTTATATTAACTGTATAATAAATTAATATATTATGTAGGTACATTTTTGTGTGACTTTTGCAGTGATTGGCTTAAGGCCTAAGTTAGATGAATTCCTATGTCGCCTCACACCAAAGAATATTAAAACAAAAAAATAATTTATTTTCTTAATTCTTTAATTACAATAATTTTTATTTTTTTCATAGTGAACAATCATTGTCTCAAAATGTATAAACACTACAAACCTTTTTTTTCCAGCATATATTTGTTACATAATTTACATTAATTTGTACTTGTTACAAACAACTATTATAATATTTTAAGTTAAAATATTTTTATATTTTTCATAGGTATTGATGATGATTTAAGTTTTTCAGTTTTTCAAATGACAGCATTGATTTTTAATTGCATACTCTGAACACACAATGTATTCTGAGTTATTTGCTTTGTAAAAATTGAATTTTGAACGAGTATTTAACTAGCTCTTATATAGGTTTTTAATTGTTTTAATTTGAAAGTTTGATGAGCAGAGCAGTGGTGCATACATATTTTACAAGGTACTGCAGTATCACTTCATTCTAATATATATTTTAAATACATCCCTCTAGATTTTTAAATATTTCCATGAAAGTATGAAAAATATTAAACATTTTTTTTTCGTCACGCATCCTGAATCCTGATGTGTATGATTAGTATTGAATAGTGATAACACTTAGCAAACATTAATAAATAATGGTTTATAATCGTTGATAGCTAATGTCGTGGACTCATAATACATAGGAATGACTTAATTGTTTATAGTTATAACTTTGTTATACGTTTATAATTTTATCAGATGGTTATCAGTTTATCACCTATCAATTGAGT